GGATCCCTGCTCTTCAGAAGTTTCAGGCATCCAGAATGGAGAATTCTGCTTTTCTCAATGCTAACATTTATATAGATATGTTAAAAAATCGGTTTCCATGTCCTACTTTAGGGACCACAGTCTGGAGAGTGCATCTGATGCATTTCCTTCTACTGCCCCACTTCCTGGCCTGATCCTGAGCAGAAATGTTTGCACAGCTGGTCATGCACAAATAGAGATTTCTCTGCTTTTTGCTGCCACGAGCAAGAAAACTTGTGAAAGATGACAGCAATATTGCTGTTCACTTTCATGAACTCAACTCTGATCCACTTTTGTGCTGTCCAGGAGGGAGAAAAATGCTTTTGTGTGCTGGCCCTGCCTTTGTTGCAGTTTCCCTGGTAGTGCCCATGCCCTTGGCTGCTATGTGAGCTTGGCTCTCCCAGGCCATTCTTCTCCAGCCTGGTGGTGCTGCGGGACAACCAGCTGGGCTCCAACCCCTGATCCAGAGGGCTTGCAGCCCTTGGCTCAGCAGCCCTAGTAACTGAAGTCAAGGAAGCTCTTTTGTGCCCTGAGGAATGTGGTGGGAAGCTGCTGTGCCCTTCCCAGCGCACTCAGGGTTGGTGTGAAGGGATGGAGGAGCAAAGACGGAGTTGTTTAATGGATTTCTCCATCTCCTTCCCACAAAGCCAGCGCTGGAGAGCGAGTGCCGTACCTGCTCTGCTGCCTGACAGCTGCAATTTGTATTTCCTCCTGCCCAGGCCGGCCCACAGAGCTTACATAAGTGTCTTTCTGTCCCATTCCATGTCAGAGCAATTTGAAATTTAAATCCCAGTGCTGTGGGATAGTGCCTAATCTCATTAAAGAGCGTGTTCCCAGGATCTCTGCTGCTGCACTGCCCGTGCTTCTGGGTTTCTGTAAGTCATAAAGCACTGCAGTGTGTGGACAGTGTGGATTGGAGGTTAGGCTCCACTTCTGTTGTAATTAATTATCATCCTTTCTTAGGCTTGGGAAAAGTCACTTTTCATAGTTTGTAAAAGCTCTACTTTCAAAACTGTGGATTTGAGGCATTTGTTCATTGTCTGATGCCGATGTGCTGTATGATCACAAATGCGCAAATGTCCATGCACGGATGCCGATGCCAGTAAAACCTGGAACAATGGCACCAGCAGTGGGAGGGCAGCACAGAAACAAACTGCTCAATCCCCACCTGCATCCCCTCCAAAAGAGCCTCTGCTGAGTCTCTAGGTTTGCTGCTGGCAAGGTTTGGGATACCTGTGGTGTGTGCAGTGGCTGTGTTGTGTGATACAGTGCAGCACATCCCCAGGAGATTGCTTGAACCACTGTTTTCAATATCTTTTAATATAAAAAGCCCCAGCCACCCTTGACACATGTGCTGGGCTGTCTCAGGAAGTCTCAGCATTACAGAGGTGCTGAAACAGGTCTGGGCTCCTTCCTCCAGGAGGTTCCTTGCTTTATTCCTGCAGATTTCCTAACTAACCCTGTGTTTTGTCTTTGTCACAGAGTCTTGCACTGGGCTGAGTTTCTCTCTGCATTCAGCAGAGGCTTTAATCCCACCAGGGATCTGCAGAGCCTGGGAGGGCTGGAGCAGCAGGACAGGCTCCACACCCAGCACTCATCTGTTTGGAGCGTGTTTGGAGATCTGAGGGGCTCCATCCCTGTTCCTCTCAATCCCCATTCTCCTCAATCCCTGTTCCTCTCAATCCCTGTTCTTCTCAGTCCGTGTTTCTCTCAATCCCTATTCCTCTCAGTCCCTGTTCTTCTGAACCCCTGTTCTTCTCAATCCCTGCTCATCTCAATCCCCGTTCCCCTCAATCCCTGTTCCTCCTGGCTTGGTTGCTCAGTCCTGACCCAGCCCAGATCCCTGGGAGCAGGGATTTCTCCCTCATTATACACCAAATAAGAGATTTACATGTAGATCTCTCCATGTGGTGTTGGGTTATTGGAGGGGGATGTTTTGTTGGTTTGGGGTTTTTTCCCACTCATCCTCAACACATTCAGCCTCTTCCAATACTTGGAAACTCTGCTGACGACAAAGCCCAACCCAAACACAAATTGCAACAACAACAACAAATCTAATCCAGTGCAGGACTGTTTGTAAAGTCCCAGGACACCCTGGTGGGGTTTTTTTCCATCCAGGCTGTGTTGGCTGAAGAGAGCCACGTTCAGTTCTGGCTGCTGAGCAGCAGATGGAGCTGCCAAACTGCACATCTGGGGCTGCACCCTGCAGCTGGCTCCAGCCACCCACAGCCCTTTTGCCACCAGGATGATCCCTATTTCCTCCTGCATCTGGAAATGCATTTCCTGGAATGCTGAGCATAGCTGGGGGTGGTGGGCTTTGGTATGGGAAATTGGACAGGCTTGGGATGTGGAAAAGTGGGGTTTAAAAAAGGGAGGTATCCACACTCAGGGTGTGTGAGGATGCGGGCAGAGATGGATTTTCCCTCTCTGAGTCCCACCCTGAAGTGGAACATAGAAGAAGGAAGGTTACAAGCACCATCCTTGTTCTCATCCCAACCACACCTACAGCTGATTCTCACCTTCCAACCAAAAACTTCCTTTTCAACAGTTGGACGTGGCTTTATAATCGTGCGGTGATCAGAAATGAGAATTCAAAGAAAAACACAACCTTTACCTATTTTTTTTTAATGTTCCTTTTACCATAATTGTTAACTAGAAGTGAACAGCTAATAACCTCAGTCCTCCCTTACAGAAATCTGTAAATAAAATGATTGTTGATCCCTGCCTGACCTCATGCCCAGTGTTACCAGGACAAGGTGCAGCTTCTTCACCCTGGCCAGTGTTTCATGTGTTGCAGCCTCTGGTTTGAGCACTGGGCTGACACGTGGCAAAAGGAGTTATCAAGAGAAAACAGACAATAAATTGATGGTGGATGCGTCACAGAAGACATGAAAATCATCATTTCAGTGTGTTTCTTCCAGCTGAAGCAGAGCTGGGGAAGTTTGTGGGAGCCACAAGCGCTTCAGAGTTGACTAAAATACCCCAGGTCATTTTTCATAATCCATATTTGCTACCTTGATTATTCTTTTATTTAGATTTTGAAAGTGTAGCTAGCAATAGCAATGGTGTTTTAAAAGGTCCACAAATGGCTGGAAAGAGAAATGAGGAGGGAACATTGCAGGCTGTCATCTTACTGTGCTTATAATTTAAGCTTTGTGAAACATTTGTCTTACATTAACATTTAATTATAACCACATGCAAAACTTGACATCATTACCCAGGATTAAGTCCCGTTGCTTGATCTGGTTTATTGTTTAATTCTTTTGGGAGCATTTTAAGGAAAAGTCTTTTAGATCAGAGAACTTTCTAAATTCACTAGGAATCCACTATTAATGGTGGCAACTGCAATTTCTTGATTTACATTTTTTAATTCTTTCTGTAGATTCATAAGAGATCCATAGGGACAAAATATCATGGCTGTGTCTCAGAGATTGTTTAGGTTAATAGCAAACATTCTAAGTTGAGTATTAATCCACTTTTAAAGGTGGCATATGCTATTACTTGGTATTTCTTGAATGCTTTTTTGTGTAGACTCTTAAGAGATCTATAGGGAAAAAAGATAATAAGTGGTCTTGGAGATTGTTTTGGATTAATACTGAGCCTTTTAAATTCACCAGTAATCCATTATTAAAGGTGGCAACTGCTGTTACTTGATTTATTAAATTTTTTTCTCTAGACTTGTAAGAGATCTATAGGAAAAATTATAATAAGTGGGTCTTGGAGATTGTTTTGGTTAATAGTGAGCATTCTAAATTCACTATTAATCCACTATTAAAGATGGCAACTGCTATTAGTTGAAATGTTTTTTAAGTTCTTTCTGTAGACTTGTAAGTGATCTACAGGGACAAAATATCATCAGTGCGCCTTGGAGATTGTTTTGGAATAATAGTGAACTTTTAAAATTTACTGTTAACCCACTGTGAAAGGTGGCAACTGCTAGTTCTTGATTTTATTTTTTTATTTTTTAAAAATGATTTCTGTAGACTAGTAAGTGATCTATGGGGATGAAATATAATCAGTGGGTCTCAGAGATTGTTTTGGATTAATCATGAACGTTCTAAATTGTTAAAGGTGGCAACTGCTTGGGTTTGGGTTTTTTTAAAATTCTTTTCTCTGTAGACTCAGAGGAGGTCTATAGGGCAAAATATAACAAGTGGGTCTTGGAGATTGTTTTGGTTAATAGTGAACACTCTAAATCCACTGTTAATGGTGGTGACTGCTATTCCTTGATTATTGTTTCTTCTTAATTCCATCTTTAGGCTCGTAAGAGATCTAAAGGGATGAAATATCATCAGTGGGTCTCGGAGATTGTTTTGGCTAATAGTGAACATTCTAAACTTACTATTAAATTCAACAATTTAATTTAATAAGTAATTAAATTTAAAATTAAATTTAATACTATTAAATTCAATAATTCAGTATTAATCCACTATGAAAGGTGGCAACTGCTGTTCCTTGGGTTTGTTTTGTTTTAAAATTCTCTTCTCTGTAGACTCAGAGGAGGTCTATAGGGCAAAATGTAACAAGTGGGTCTTGGAGATTGTTTTGGTTAATAGTGAACACTCTAAATCCACTGTTAATGGTGGTGACTGCTATTCCTTGATTATTGTTTCTTCTTAATTCCATCTTTAGGCTCGTAAGAGAAATATCATCAGTGGGTCTCAGAGATTGTTTTGGCTAATAGAGAACATTCTAAATTTACTATTAAATTCAATAATTCAGTATTAATCCACTATTAAAGGTGGCAACTGCTATTCCTTGATTATTTCTTTTTTAAATTCTTCCTGTAGACTCATAGGAGATCTACAGGAAAAACGATAATCGGTGGATCTTAGAGCTTGTCTTGTAGGGATCCTCCCGTGCTTCCATTTGAGTGCAGAGCAATCCCCTAGGGCAGAGCCCAGCCCTCGGTGGCCGTGGGTGTCTGAGGTGTCCCCGTGTCGCGCAGGTGGCTCCGGAGCGCGCTGAGGCTCCGTGTCCCGGCTCCCCGGGCCGTCCCTGCCCACGCCGTCGCTCCCGGGTGGATCGCCACGAGCCGCAAAGCTGCTGTCCACGTGGACTGGTGCTGAAATCTCCCGCCCGGCCGCCGCCAGAGCCTCGCCAGCCAAGCCCAGAGACATGGCCACCAACGGCACCAAAGTGGCGGACGGACAGATCTCCACCGAGGTCGACGCCTCCATCACCAACGACAAGCCCAAAACCTTGGTAGTAAAAGTGCAGAAGAAGAAGACGGACCTTCCAGACCGAGACACTTGGAAAGGGAAATTTGACTTTCTTATGTCCTGTGTAGGTTATGCCATTGGCTTAGGGAATGTGTGGAGATTTCCGTACCTGTGCGGCAAGAACGGTGGAGGTACGTTGTGGTTAGGAGTCGCCACCAAATTACCAACAAATCAAACCCTGGCTTCAACAGATTTTTCATACATGTAGATTATTTCAGTTGGGGATTTTTTGTAGGTTTTTTGGGGGAACTGCAGTTTTTGGGTGTTTTTTTTTTTGGTTGGCTGGTTGGTTTATTGGGGGGTGGGATTGGGATTTTTGGCTTTTTGTTTGTTTAGTGTGGTGGTTTAGTGGGGCTTTTTGACTATTTTTGCTATGTTTTGGGTCTTTTGGGTTTTTTAGTTGTTATTATGGTTTGGTTTTTGTTTGCTGTCAGAGATTTTGAGGGTTTTTTGGGGTGGTTCCTTTTGTTCTGGGTTTTTGGGGTTTTGTTGTTTTGGGTTTTTTGCTTTGTTTTGGGTCTTTTGGGTTTTTTAGTTGTTATTATGGTTTGGTTTTTGTTTGCTGTCAGAGATTTTGAGGGTTTTTTGGGGTGGTTCCTTTTGTTCTGGGTTTTTGGGGTTTTGTTGTTGTTTTGGGTTTTTTGCTTTGGGTTTTTTGTTTTGTTTTGGGTCTTTTGGGTTTCTTAGTTGTTATTTTGGTTTGGTTTTTGTTTGCTGACAGAGATTTTGAGGTTTTTTGGGGTTCGTTTGTTTTGTTCTGGGTTTTTGGGGTTTTGTTGTTTTGATTTGGTTTTTTGGTTTTTTGGGGATTTTTAGTTGTTTTGGTTTGGTTTATCTTTTGGCTCTTTTGGTTGTTTGCTGTGGTGTTTTGGGGTTTGATTTTTTTTTTTTTGGTTGCTTTAGGGGGTTTTTGTGATTTTTTTGTTTGGTTTGTTTGAGAGATTTTTGGGGTTTTTTGTTTTGTTTGGGTTTTTGGGGGTTCTGTTGTTGTTGTTATTTCGGCTTGGGTTTTTTGTTTGCTTTTGTTTTCGGGGTTTTATTGCTTTCCACTTTTCCTGGAAGTTCAGAGCCATTTTGGAGTGTGGAGCTCTCCTGTGAGCTCTGCTCTGAATTTTATTCTAACTCCTAGCTGCCAGTTGCTCTTAAAAGACCATAAAATATCAGAGCAGAACTAAAGCTCGTTGCCCTCAACCCAACCCTGCAGATCCCTCTCTTTTGGGCTGACTTTTGAGAGGATTTCATGGGGTTTGCAGCTGACTCTGAGCTCCCCATAAAAGGCTGGAAAGCAGCCAGGGCTGGTTAAAGCCTTTGTGCTGTCTGTGAGAGGTGAAGGCAACAAAGCCCACAGGCTTCTGGATTTCAGCTTTTTACTTCAACAGAAAGAATTTAAACGATGGGGAGTTATGTTTCTCCCTTTATTTTCGCTGGTTCAGAAGTGCACGTGTTGTTTCTACTAACATTTTTGAAAAGTTACACCTGAGAGGAAAGAAAAAGCCCCATGGGTTTCTTTTCATATGTGAAAAGGATGGAAAATGGAGATTCAGTTGTGTTTTTTCCCACTATAACTGACTTTTTTTTGGAATTTCTTTTTAGGTGCATTCCTGATTCCCTATTTCCTTACTTTAATTTTTGCTGGAGTGCCACTCTTCCTTTTGGAGTGCTCCCTAGGTCAGTATACATCTATAGGAGGCCTTGGAGTGTGGAAGCTTGCTCCAATGTTCAAAGGTACAGTATGGATTCCAATTATTTCTCATTTGTTTCCAGATTGCAGAAGTTTCACAAAGTGCCAGGGCAAGGATGTTTCTTGGTGCCTTTCATTTATATTTAAACCATGATTTTTCTAGAGAAAGCACGGATTTTCTGAGGTGTAACTGATGATTTTGAAACGGTGCTGGGCTCTATTTTTTGTTTTCCATTGAAAATAGCCAGATTTACACATTAGAATTGCAGCAAACTTATTTTTAAACTTCAACACTCTGGGTTTGTTGGTTTGTTTTTTTTTGTAGAAATGCATAAAGACTGTTACAAACAGCATATCCAGCAGTAGTTGTCTGAGCAGTTTGGAACTGTTCACAGCAATTTGGTAAACTTCAGTAAATTCTTCTGAGCTCACAGAGACTGGTATTACCTGAGGTTTTTTTTAACTGAAATTCAAAACACAGACACTTTTGGCAATTTCATGCTGAATTCCTTAAGACAAGCTCACTCCACACTTTGACCTTGAGTTTGAGGTTTGATTGCCAGAACGCCAGGGTTTTAATCCCGGTTCTGCACAGACCCACAAGCCTCTCAAACAATGCTTTTCACCCTTCTAATCCCAAATCCTTTGACACTTCCGAGCTCCTGAGCTGAGTTCTGGCCCAGCAGAGCTGCACGTGGTGTTATAAATTACCTCACACAGTAGGACTGACAATTAGCACAGGGTGAGCAGAAAGTTTGTTGAGATTGAATTTTGCCCTGGGAGATTTCTGTGTTGGGGAAACGCAGAGAGATGAAATTGTTTCTCACGGAGAAGTGTTTTTGCTCGAGTTGCTGCTGTTGGCAGGGGCTGGTACAGCCTTGCTTGGCATTATCCCATTTATTGTGAGCACTTCCTCCTGCTCAGGGTCATGGGACAGCCATCCTGAGTAGTTTAGAACAGCCCTGGAGTGTCCATGTGGAGCAGAAGACACCCTCATGGTGGAACCCTGGCATTTCTCTGCTCTGACATGCCAGCAGCCCTGTGCTGAGCACCAGGCACTCTGATCCGTGTCCTAAATGCCTTGGAACACGTTCTCACTGTGTGTGCATCTGCCACCAGGTCCTGTGGGGCTGCTGTTCCAGAGAATGAGCTGATTTAGCTCTCTTTTCCTGGGAGTAAAAGATGCCAGGCAGCTCTCAGCAGCAGCAGGTGGGACTGCAGCACTCAGAGAGCCGAACTCTGGCAGTGACCCCATGGATGGCTGAGCCACCAGCCAAATCATGACCTCTGTGTAATGGCTCTTCTGAAATTCTCCCTTGTGCAACATTTCCCCAGCTGTGCCTGCCCCGTGTCATGTGTGTGCCCCCAGCTGCAGCTCTGCAATTAGAATTTCCCTTGTTTCATTTCTCTTTGTTCTCCTTACAGGTGTGGGACTGGCTGCTGCAGTCCTGTCCTTTTGGCTAAATATTTACTACATTGTGATTATTTCCTGGGCCATATACTACCTGTATAATTCCTTTACCACTGTAAGTGTGTGTCAGAGGGGATGGGGAATTGTTTCTTGGATGTAAAGCCAAGTAAAATATGGATATATCGCTAATCTGCTTCAGTGTAGATTTGTGAGGTTAACACAGCATGCACAGAAATCTGTGGGATAATCCATTCTTACTGAAAAAAAACCTATTTTGTAAAAATCTCTTTCCATTTTTTTTTTTCTCCACAAGAAATTTAGAACAGAAAACTGAGCTTACAGGCCATTCACTCCCCCAAGAAAAATTCTAGTGTACAATCAGTTATTTTATTTCTCCAGAAGCAGCCACACAAACATGAGTTCTTTGGGAAACAGTATCATTGCAATGTGGTTTAATGACTGAGGGGTTTATTAAAGAAACCCCCATGGAATGGAAGGTCTGTGATTTGATTAACTCTGAACTTCCATTCATTGTTGTTATTTTTGCTTTGTTTTCTTTCCTGTTTACTTTATTTTTAGCTGCCTTTTTTTACCCCTCAAGGGTGATTCATCAGCTGAGTAAGTCTTGTCTGATTTGTGGGGTTTGGCCATCTGAGGAAGCATTCTTACATAAGTTGTATATAATTAATGCATCATTGTTCAATTGTCTCTTCTATAAATTTTGCTCATGCTTGCTTGTTCTTGGCTTTAAAGAATTTTGCCTTGACCAAATTTGCATTAATTACTGTCTGGGAGTGACATGACCATTTCTGCTTTGTTGTCCTCAGAACTGTTATTGATGTGAAAGGTCAGGCAGAGTCTGGAAGTGTTTCTTGTGGCCCATGTTAAATGAATATTGACTTCTAATTCCCTTGAAGCCTCATATCCTTGTGTATAAAGCACGCAGTGCCCTGATACAGCAGTTCTGTGAGAGGATTTTCCAATTGCCATCAGAAGGACCTGTAAATTATATGTAAATGAGGCTCATTCTAATGGATACCATGAGAAACAGGTTCTGCTCCTCAGAACTTCTGAAAGATGGGATGGACACATACAGAACGTGCACGCAACAAATAGAAATTTTACCTTTTTTCTAGTTATCCCCTGACCTGAGGGGAAAATGAAACTCTCTGATCAATAACCATGACAACTTTATTATCTCTTGTTCAGCAAGAGGTACCAGGACCTCCAGGAGGTCCTTTCTGTTGTTTCAGTATACTCTCATGGTGAGTGTATTGAATCCAGAGCGTTTGGACTGCTGTGTTAAAGGAAAAAAAGGAATATTTCCACACCTGCCTCCCACAACTGATAGGAATTTAAATAACTTTCACCCCGGGGAGATCAATGTCTGCAGAGTTCCAGGTGCTTTAGTTCTGCACTCAGCTGTCAGTTCTAGCAGAGAAAGAGATACTTGAGGTAATCCTTGCTTAAAAAGTGTTTGACTTGAGGATTTTTTGGTTCTCTTCCTTGGCCAGACCCTTCCTTGGAAGCACTGTGAGAACCCCTGGAACACCGACCGCTGCTTCTCCAACTACACCTTAGCCAACACCACCAACATGACAAGTGCCGTGGTGGAGTTCTGGGAGTAAGCTCAGCATTTCCCTCTCCCCTTCCTGTGCAAGGATCACCTTGCTGTCCTTCCTCTTTTATCCTGTGAGCTCTTTGCCAAGTGCCCCGTTCTGTTGGCTCGTTCCAGACGCAACATGCACCAAATGACCGATGGCTTGGAAAAGCCGGGGCAAATCCGATGGCCGCTGGCAATCACCCTGGCAATTGCCTGGATTCTGGTGTATTTTTGTATCTGGAAGGGGGTAGGCTGGACTGGAAAGGTAAGATTAAAGAGTACTGTAAATGCCTTTCAATTAAAAATGTCCATTTTGCTCAAATATTCTGAAAATTCTTGAGGTAAGAGGCCCAGGGGGAAGTGTGGCTATCTGAGCTCTGTGAAGTATTTAATTTGTGTTTTCTTGGATTGGTACAGCCCTGTGTTCTAGAAAGAGCTGGCTGCTCTGTAGCTAGCTCAGAGCACAGCCTTAGATGCTTCACTTACAGGCCTCTTGGCCAGGTATAAAATCAGCTAAAATTATTCCTGCTTGCTCCTGAGATGGATATTCCAGCTGGTTGGGATAGCAGTAGAGTGAGGATGAAGTGGTTTGGTTTCAGCAAGAATTGTGCATTTATTTTATATACACATATATGAATTGTGCTCTTGCTGGAGCTGGAGATGTAAGGGAGTGCTGGGAAGAGCCGCTCACCACTTCGTGTCTGTGAGAAACATTTGAGGTCCTTTCACAGGATTTCACACTGTGCTTCCTGGGGTCTGCCTGGCTGTGAGTGGAAATTAGGATTTATTAATCAATTAAAGGAAATTATGTTATTGAGAGACCTTGCTGAATGAAAGGGCAGCAACATCTGGCATTGGCTCGTGCCTTTCCCTGCCGGAAGAAATCTTAGGGAAACAAAAAGCTGCAGCAATGGAGTTTAGCTGAAGGGAAGGGTTGGGTTAGAAGACCTCAGGTCTGGTGCAGAGGACTGGGATTTCTTCCCACTGAAGGAATGGATTGTTAGCTTTTGACACGGGGTTATAACTGTGACCCACCTCAAACTGGAACAGGGCTTAGCTGAGCTCAGAGCAAGCCATTCTCTTTCTCCTGTCTCCAAATCACAAAGAGGGCAAAAAGAGGGCTGAGTCTGACTTCAGAAAGGGTTTTTTTAAAGGACCTCTGAAAAGGCAAGAAAGTAGGAGCCTGTAATAGAGAGGAGGAGAAAGTGGGGGAAATAAAGTGCCAGATGTTTTACGAGCAGGAGTCTGGTGCCCTGATCCTGGTGCTTTTGGGACTTCCTTGTGTTAAATACCAAAAAGAGTGTGTGAAAATATCCTAGTCCAATCTGTTCTCTTTGCAGAAAAAATACTCAACAGCCACCTGCCTTTAAACCTGGGGAAGTTCAGGGAATTTTGCTGTAGGCACTTCCCAAGCTTTTTCATTGAAAAATTCCTCAATTTTACAAGCCACCCTCAGTTGCTGCTAGGGCATTTTCAGGGAGCAAATACTTTTGATCATTGTTCCTTGCACACTTACACTGTCTTGTTTCTTCAGGTGGTATATTTCTCTGCTACTTATCCCTATGTTATGCTGCTTATCTTGTTCTTCCGTGGTGTAACACTGCCTGGAGCAAAGGAAGGCATTTTATTCTATATAACTCCCAACTTCAGTAAGCTTTCAGACTCTGAGGTAAATATTCCATCCTGGTAAACAAAAGTTTCACTCCTCACTGTTCCCCTTTCAGACATATGACCTGCTCCTCAAGTGCAGAAACAGATTTTTAAAAAAATTGTTTCCTGCAATCAGGTTTGGCTGGATGCTGCCACACAGATTTTCTTCTCCTACGGTTTGGGTCTTGGTTCACTGATTGCCCTTGGAAGTTACAACCCTTTCCACAATAATGTTTACAGGTAAGCAGATGACTGCACATATTGCAGTGGCACTTGCCTGTCTCAGCTGGAGCTGAGTTCTGTCTCTGTGTACAGATAATTGAATTAAAGTTTAGTATTGAGTATTAACTGTTCTGGCTGGCTGGGGGTGAGATGTGTAACAGTGGGAGAGACTTCCTCAGCATGAAATGGAACCCAAACTGTGAAATCCTAAATCATGAAATCTTTCCACAGGACAAAAAAAAAACCAAAAAGCAAACTAAAGAGGATGAACATTTCCTTTCCCTGCTGCTTAAAGCCCCTTTTCCCTTTGTTTCAGGGACTCCATCATAGTGTGCTGCATAAACTCATGCACGAGCATGTTTGCTGGCTTTGTCATCTTCTCCATCGTGGGATTCATGGCCAATGTCACAAAGAGGCCAATTGCAGACGTTGCAGCATCAGGTACCCCATATCTTTTCCTCTAAGCTGTGCATCAGTTATTTTTTTGCTTGTAGGTTGCTCCTGCAACTGCTCAAAATCCCTCCTCAGAGCTCCTCAGCTCCCTGGCCCTTCAGTCTCCTGATGGCAGAAGGAAAAGTCCTGTCCCATCCCACTCCAGGCAGAGGAGGAGGAATGCTGGTCACTATGGGGTGGCTTTAAAGCTAATATTTCCCACTTCAGTTGGGTTTTAATTCCTTTTCCCATTTCTTGAGGTTAAACCATTCGAGGCAGATCCATTTCTCACCTGCTCAGACCTACACCTATTTCATGTGATTCTGTATCAACAGAGACATTTTATTTAGGGCAGGGAGATGTCCATGGGAGGATTCTGCTATTCCTTGTCTGTCTTCCAGCTGAAAAAGCTTAAAGCAGCAGAGCAGATGGCTGCCCTAACCCAGCTGGTGCACCAGATACTCACTTAGCAGCTCTGGCCACAGGGAGGGATCTCATAACTCAAAGCTCCGTTGGAACTCACTGGTGGACAAAATCTGGATGACTGTATTAGCAAACACAGCCCACTGAAATACCTCCTTAGGTAGAAAAGGAGAGAATTTAAGCCTCAAAAATAACCTTCAGTAAATTACACATACAAAGAGATTAGGTGCAAAATGATGATGGCAGGCACTGTTATTAAAAGCTGCTCTGGAAAGGCAGTGGGGTGTGAAATAAGCTTTTTGGAATTATGTCTTTGATACAGACAGAGTTATATAAAGGCTATACCTGCAAGCACGACAATATTTTTACGTCATGTTAAGTACATTTGTCAACAGACCTCTGAAAGATGCCCATGACCACTAATTACAAAGGATATTTGAAAATTTGACCCCTTAATTAAAGCTTCTATTTCTCCTAGTAAGCTCAGAGGCTGGTGCCAGATTTTACCAGAGGTTGCTTTGCCATCTTTTATACAGCCTTATAAAACAATATTATTAAAAGGTGTAGCTGCATTGCTGTGGAATGCAAAACAGAGTAAAATTAACATATTTATCTGAAATTTATTTTCCTTTCAGCACTGCTATTTGGAATGCTTTCTGAACGGCTTTCCAATCGTATCTGCTCTTGTTAGCAATTAATTCCTTCAAAATTCTCATTAGACTTTGAGAATCCAGGTGTTGATGCCACCCTTGCTCCACTGGTTTGGGAGCTGTCACCAAGCCCTTGTCACTGACAGACTTTTAATGGAAACTGAAAAATCAGAGACACTCCCTAGGTGAAGCACATGAGCTTTGTTTCTGTGTTTATTAAATTTGCTAGTTTTCCCTCTGACCCTGACGTCCAGCTGTGCCTTGAGAACAAAAAAATTCCTTTTAAATAGGAATTTATATTCTCCTTCCAGCACATCAGCAGTGAGCAAGAAGAAAAATTGAAAATTTTGGTTGTCCACATCTACAGAGTTTATTAAAATCTGTATTTTGAGAGAGTGAATGGAATGGAACAGCAAATGGGAATACTGGAAATGCTGGAAAGTGTCTTCTCCGTTTCTGAGCTGTCTCTGTTTCTCTTCTGAACGGTGCAAAGCAGGAGATTGCAGCTGCCAAAAACTGCTTGAGGGGAGAGAGAGCTGAGCAGTGCCTGAAGATGTAACCCTAGCCAAGGATAACATCCCTGCCTTGGCTGTGCCAAGGGGTCTCTCAGGAGCAGCTCCTGAAGTGCATTCAGTATTCTGGTTGGTTGGTTTTGGGGGGGTTTGGGGGTGTTGTTTTTGGTTGGTTTTTCTGTTTGTGTTGACAGGCTAATTTTAAAAAGCAGGTGCTTGCAGTGCCCCCGTGCTCAGCGGACACTGAACAGCTGAGATCCCTGCTCAGGTGCTGCGTCCAGAGCCACCCAAATAAAGCTCAGCAGGAGCAGAGAATCCCAGCCCCAGCCCTCCCTGCTGATGTTTTGTGTCCTGTTCCTCCCCCCAGGCCCTGGGCTGGCGTTTCTGGCTTACCCCGAGGCAGTGACGCAGTTGCCCATCTCCCCTTTGTGGGCGATACTCTTCTTCTCCATGCTGCTCATGCTCGGCATTGACAGCCAGGTAAAACTGGGGTGGAAGCAAATGAAAATACACATTTCTCTGGGTGGGACCAGGCTGGGCTCTCCCTGTGCTCTCCACTGGGGCAGGATGGTCCCTGGAATAATCAGATAAAGAATAGGAGGCACTGAGGAAAAACTGAATAAAAAAACGACGCTTAAACATTTTTGTTCTTTCACGAGCTGTTGGAAGCACATGAAAACTGGGCAGAAAATTTATTCTGCAGGCAAAAAGGAGCTTACCTTTGAAACATTCCCTGTTAAATCACAATGTTAAAAATACCTGTGCAATGTTCAGCTGTGTAGGAGACACTGGGATATGTTTTACAAGATTTAGGTGCCACAGGTATTTCTGGAGGGCAGCTCCAGAACTCACCACTGGAGCGAAAAGACGCAGCACACATTTCATTTTAACATCAGGAGTTAATTCAGTGGGCAATGGGATTGTTACTGAGGATATTCTGTGTTTTGTTGTGCTCTGAAATCACTTCCCAAGGGAAAGGATCACAAATTTATTGGTTCAGGCCTCACCCAAGCTCTGGGTGATATCTGACAACTGGAAATGAATGAGGAGGCTCAGCCCTGGGGTTTTGCAATCCCAAGATATTCTCTGTCTGGATAAAACTATTAAATAATTAAGACATGGAATCATTAGAAATGTTGATTGTGACATAAATAAAGAAGCACACAGCACAAGAGAAAACCCTTTAGGAATAACTATGTCCAACAAAACCTTTTGTTAATCAGTGCTGACTCTAATTCAGAGAACAGCCCCACTGGCAGCACTCAGGAGAGCACCCTGCCTTCTTTTTCAAGGAATTCTTGGAGAGTTTGGTCAGGGAAGCCCCCCTGGCTGCTGAACTGTTGGACCACTTTTATGAGAGCAATCCTAGGCAGATGTGTTAATTTACTTGCAAGCAGCTGCAGTTTGCAAACCCAGTTGCTAGCACAGCCCTCCCAGCACATAAAGGAATGTGGGATTTACTGCCTTAGCACTGCACCAGTCTTTCAGGAGAGAAAATCCATCATTTTCTATAAATCCAGGCTGACTTCAGCCTGTGGACACAAAAGGACCAAGAGGGCATTTTATCCTGGGAGATGAAAGAAAGTTGAAAATTTACACTTTCTATTTCTTTGTTTCTCGGCGAGCTTCAGGCTTGACATTAAAACCCATTGCTCAGTCTGGGGGGAAACTGCTGTGAAATTAATTGGGTCAAAAATATTCTTGAAAGCACTTGTCTCTAGGCAACAAACAGCTGAGGATGGTGGTCTAATATTATTAAAAAGATTATATATCTACAGGCTGTCATGCTTTCTGCATTTTGTGTCTGTCACTGAAACATTTCAGACACTGTAATTTACAGGAGCTGTTAACCATTGGTTGAATTCTACTTGCTCTGCTGAAAATTAATAAAACTTTACTTACCTTCTGGGTTTCACTATTTCAACCACCTTAATGATAACATTTATCTGAATATATACACAGAGAAGGATCCTGGAGTGTATCCTGATTTCCATTTGGAGGACACAGCCTCAACAAAAAATGTTTTCTGGGGATACAAAGAATATTTGATATTCATATTTGATTTCATATGAGAATCTTTCTGCACGAAGCACCAATGTGGTTTGACTTTCTCTGTGTGTTGGATTTCTTGTATGTGAGTAAATCACATCAAAAGAAGTTTATTTTGTAGGATTGAGGGATCAAATCCCCCAACTGTAGGTCTATCACCTTTATTACAAAAAAAGAGCAGTTCCTGTTCACAGAGCGAAAGCAACAGCTCATGGCTTAGACTTCTGTGTGTTCCTCCAGCTGGAAATCTTTTTGCACAGATCTCTTTAGACAGAAACAAGAATATTCAGGGGCAGAGCTTCCACTGCAGTCAAGTGAATTTTCACTTCTCGTTGGACAGCCGCAGCCTAAGGCCAGGGGAGGGTCCAATGACCAGCTGCTCCCCAGACCCCCATCCTGCCGTGGCAGGGCTCTGGATTGTGTTTCCCCTTTCCCTTGCAGTTCTGCACCGTGGAGGGGTTCATCACAGCCCTGGTGGACGAGTTCCCCAAGCTGCTGCGCAACCGCCGCGAGCTCTTCATCGCCGTGGTGTGCATCGTGTCCTACGTGATAGGGCTGTCCAACATCACTCAGGTACTGCAGGGCTGGGGCTGCCACCAGCTCCAGCTGGGACAATTCCCTTCCCCAGCCCAGCCAGGAGCCGCTGCCAGCCGCTGCATTGTCAGGGATTGGCGCTGCCCAGGATTTGGGGGGTTTAAGTGTGGAACGCCTTGTGGTCCCTGTGATGCTTTAGGGTTTTAGCTTTGATACTTTTCTTTATATTTTATTTTTTTTTTAATGTATCAGGATTATTTGTTTTATCTTAGGATTTCAGCTTTTATATGTTTAGATTTTGTATTTTTCATCCATTTGTAGTGCTGCAGTTCTTTAGTGCCTGACTCCAAACTCCATGTGCAGGCTCAGCTGCTGCTTCCCCATCCTGCTCAGACACAGCAATTCCTCCCCAGGCCTGCAATCAAGGACACCTCACTGCCCCAGGCCTGAGAGATGGAAACAAAAGGGACTTGGGGGCAGCAAAGCTGCCCTAAATGACTTCATTCCCTGCAGCTGCAATTGGGAGATGAACCCCCAATGTGCAAATGGACCCAGCTTAGAAAAGTGTCAGACCTGGGACCCATTGGCCATTTTTGGGTGCAGCCCAAAATGTACCTGGAGACCCTTCAATAAATAGAAACTGCTTTTTATTCCCTTAATTCTGTCTGGCCTCTGTTTTTAGGTAACCCCAAAAGGCATCACCTGGATGTCCCCTGCAGGGCTCAGGGGACAGCAAAATGTACATCCCCACACTCTTACAGTCCAAAAAGTGGCAGCTGGAGATGTTGACTTCGCAAATTATTTGAGGGAAATGATTAATTATTAAATTACAATTAAATTATCAAAGAGCAAAAAAGCTAAATTAAACTTTTCAGTTTAAACAGCAGCAATCTTAACTTTGCCAGGACTGACCTCATGCCTTTAAAGAACTTAACCTGTTTAATTTACATTAATAGGCCCCTAACCTATCCACCACTGTTTCTGTCTTACATGTTGAAGCTGGAGGCCTCGTTTAATACTTTCTTTTCTGTTTTAGGGTGGAATCTACGTGTTTAAGCTTTTTGACTACTACTCTGCCAGTGGAATGAGCCTCTTGTTCCTTGTATTCTTTGAGTGCATCTCGATATCCTGGTGCTATGGTAAACATCCTGTTTGTACTTTTCCCCTAAGCCTTACACATTATCCCTGAGGATAATTCATCCTCTGACCTGAGGCTGAATGTTCCTGTGCTGGGGGTGGAACTGAAAGTGGCCTCGTTTTCTGTGGATATAATTCAAAGCTGGCTTGAGGAGGGTGCTGCTGCCTTTTAAACACCCTACCTAGAGCCCTGGGAGCGGGAAAGTGCTTCAGGAATATTAAAAAGGTGATATTTCATCTCTCCTCCTGGCCCACTCCCTTGGAAATCCTGGATCTTCAGAGGTGATGGGTACATATTGCCTCAGGGCTCTGGGGATTGGTAATATTTCATTTTTCCAGAAATCCTCTCATTCCAGGGTCCTGCAGTGAGCCAGGCTCCTTGGTCAGTTGGGGAATAATCACCTTGAAATATCCAGAAGCCTGGACTGGCAGTCTCTGGCTCTGAGGATTAATGGATCTGTGGGATATTGTCACAGAGTATTTTTGACCTCAGAGCTGTGTCAGCTCCTCTGAGCAGCCACTCCCATCACCACTGAGGCACTCCAGCTGCTCCAGAGCTGGAGAACTGGAGCCTTCCTGCTGGATTTCAGTGGGACTGAGAGGATGGAACAGCATTTGACAGGGGAGAGGCACTGCTGGGGAAGCCAGCAAATGGAAAAATTATTCCAGAAATCACAGAATGTTCTGAGGTAGAAGGGACCCAACAAGGAGTTTAGTGGATGGTCCATCCAGGGCTGGAACCACACCTGGGAATGATCAGCTCCAGAATCTGCCCATGAGGAAATCAAAGCCATAGACAGGTGACAGACACAGCTTTGGGAAGCTGATGGAGAGCAGGGAGCCTCTCTGGTTTCAGATCCACTCCTGCCCATGCATGGTGTGCACTGGAACAGAGCTGGCTAATGCTGGGATGGGTTGGGGGTTTTATCATTGTAAAGTGAGCCCTAAACTTCTCATTCCAGGATGACCCAGAGTTGAAATCAATCAAGGCTGTTTCTTGCATCTGACCTTCCCATGTACAACTCCCTCATTTTGCATGGAAATAAATTTGCTGGTCTCTATTTCATGAATTATGATGTGGAAGAGTGAGAAGGGGTGATTTTTGGTGCTTTTGAGCTTACACGGGTTTTTTTTGCCATCCATACAGCAGAAAAGTTGTCTTGAGGTCTTTGTAGAGCTTCCAAATACAACCATAATTTATGACAATGTCTCTCAGAACCACTGAGCTTCCAGTCAAATCCACCACCTGATACATTTCTGTGCTGTTTCTTATTTCCATATCCAGGTGTTAATAGATTTTATGACAACATCCAAGAGATGGTGGGATACAGACCCTGCATCTGGTGGAAGCTCTGCTGGTCCTTTTTCACTCCCATCATCGTGGCAGTAAGGAACAAACTTTTATTCTCTGGTTGAAAGGGTGTAAATGAGGGGGCCTGGGTGCTGCAGCCTTGTCATTTCCACCCCCACAGGTTCAAATCAGTTCTGTCCTCGCTCCTTTTTTAAGGGTTTGAGCAATCCCCTTGAAGGCAATAAGCAAAAAGCAGTGTCATTAGAGGAAGCTTGTGCCCCAAAAAGAGAAGCCAGGATTTTTATTAGACCTCTGGAAATGCTCAAGAGGTTGATTGACAGAGTTAGAAAACTGTAAGGAACAAATTTTAACTTTTTTGTTTGTTTGTTTGTTTTGTTTGTTCTAAAATAGAATTTAGCAATCTAAAATCTAAATCTTCCTCATACACAAAAACACCAAGATTCTGTAAACTGAATTCCTCCACAGGCACTTCAGGTGACAGAGAAGGGTTCTAAACTTGTGTTCTTCCCCCCTGGGATTCTGTGGCGTACATTAATCATTTTATGCAACGTTGCTGTGGGTTTTCTGGCAAACTCTGCAAGGAATCTGTACTGGAAACCACAGGACAGCCTTTGCCCGATTCTAAACTTTCCCCAGTTAATCCCATTCAGTGCCTTGTGAAGTAACAAGCAAGGAAATGTAAATTTACTGCACATACACTGAAAAGGTGCAGTGGAACAAACTAATCAAGCAGCCACTATTACACATGAGCAAATAAAGAGACACAGAAATGTGTTCACCTTGAGGGTTCCCCACGTCGTCCATTCCCAGACTGAGGCAGATTCTTGTGAAAAAACAACCCTTGAGGAAGGCATAAGAAATACACTTTATTTTAGTGGCACAGGAGGAAGATGGCCAGCATTGTAAATCTGGCCAGATTTGCCAAGTCCTCAGCAGAATGTGCTGCCCAGCCCAGCTCAGAGCAGGGATAAAAATCTGCCTCTGCATCCTCCTCTGGGAATCTGCCCTGCACAGGGCTCAGTCTGGGATCAGAACAAGCTCCCCTCTCTCCTGGGTCACCTCAGCAGGTGTTCCTGGCTGGTTGAGACATTTGAGACAGGCCAGGACAGGAGTTTTTCCTGGGAATATCCTATGGAATACCTCAAATATCTGCAGGGCATCATTGGAGACCATCCCAAAAGCAATGTGTGGGTGCTGCTGCTCAGTAGCACCATGTCCACAGGTATTCCCAGGGTCCCTGTTTTCCCCAGCAGCCCCCTTCCCTCTGGCTCTGGGCAGGTTGTCTAAGGACTTGACTGGTACCAGCAGCACACCTGCAGTATCTGAGGCGCAGGTTTAGATGTGAAAATACAGCGTCAGCGTGAAACATTCGCTTTGGTAAAGGGCGTCTTGGGAAGCCCTGGAAAGACTCCTGAAGCCAGAGGGCTCTGGGAATCTCACCCAAAACCCTCCCTTGTGCTTTTTCAGGGAGTGTTCATCTTCAGCGCCGTGCAGATGACCCCGCTGACGATGGGGAGTTACGTGTTCCCAAAATGGGGCCAGGGGGTCGGCTGGTTCATGGCCCTGTCCTCTATGGTGCTGATACCTGGCTACATGGCATACATGTTCCTAACCCTGAAAGGCTCCCTAAAACAGGTAAGTCAGCCTGTCCCAACCCCCGTGGGACCTGTGCAATCAAAGATTGCTGGGCGCCTCTTTTCAGTCATCCACTCCCCCCTCAGCTGTTCTGCTTTGAGCTAAAAACCCGTGAAAGCACCAGCCAAAAGACAACAGAAGTGTCTGAGCCATCTGTTGCTGAACACAATTCCCCACTTTCCACGGGGTCCTTATCTCTGCCCTGGCAGCTGCAGACACTTGGCATTCCAGCTCCTCACACCTAGAAAACGCAGGAGCACTCGGCAAAATACGGGAATTTGTCCCGATTAATGCGAGACGCGCGGCCGCGGATGGAGGCAGGGGATGCTCAGGGGAGCTGGAATCAAAGTCAGGGACCAATCCACACGGCTCTGGGTTTGCATGAGTCTGCTCAGTGACCCTGCTCTGCATCTCCCTGATGGCCCCCAAGGCTGGGGCTCCTGCATGTCACCTGCTCTGGGTCCCACCTGCCCTGCTCTGCTGCAGAGCAGGGCGTGCAGAGAGGACTTGGAATATCTTGGGAGCACTTCCCTTCGGCCTTTATTTAAGGGATTTCTGTCAGCAGTCACTTGGTGAAGAACATTAGGGGCTTTTTTCTCATTGCTCTCAGCCTCTCCCTTGCTCATCCTGGTTTTTAAAAGGAGGGAACACTTATGGAAGAGAGTCAGGGGGGTTTTCAGTCAGTTTTTGTTTCAGTCAGTTTTTGTTTCAGTCAGTTCTGAGGTCCTCAGAGATGTGCTGCTAAAGGAGTGGGAATTACTGACCCCAGTTAGTGCCCCAAACACTCTTCAGGAGCCGCCCACAACCACCACACCTCATTTTTTTCATCTGGGTGGATCCTCAGTTTTCCCTCTCCAGCTCCTCCTGCACATCACAGAAAGTTCTCCAGCCCAAGTACTGAAACACTCTGTGATTGTGGGAACCAAAGACTGTCAAAAAGAATTTGTCAGAACTTCTGGAATATTCTAAAATCAGCTGACAGAGCCATCTTTGCAAAGGGCTGGATGATCTTAAGGAGAATTGACGAGTGATGCCTCATGAAATGCTCAGATCTTGATCCAAATATTTGTCTTCAGCAAATTTTGAAGGACTCAGTGAGGCTTCAAAGAAGTCTGCAAAAAAACAAAAAAAAAATCTGGGTTTTGATTTATTTTTTTTTTGTTTCACCCCCTGCCTGTTCTCAGCTCCTACATTTTGGATAGATTTCCCTTGGTCTTACAGAAAATTTCAGGTGCAAAAGGAGAACTGTTGCCCTAAAATACAGCTGGTGTGAGACCATGGTAAATGTTCTTCATCTCAGCCTTGTTGTGGATTAAGGTCTCATTTTTGAAAGCACTGACAAATGATTATTAAATGATGGGAGGAGCCTGCAGAGAGAAGCTCTGAGGAGCCTCTCTGGGATTTCTTTTGGGATATAAAACCCGAGCTGGGCAGAGCAGCTGAAGGAACAGAGAGGACAAAAGGACGAGGAGAGACAGAATAGGAATAAACCACTCTAAAATACAGTGTGTTTGACCTGTTTTATCCTTGGAGGAGCTCTCAGCTCTCCTGGGGAGATGCCCACCCCTCTGGTGTCCAGCCCTGCTGCCCACTGCAGCCCCTGTGCTGGATCATGGGCTCACAGCAGAGCCTCTCCTCCTTTCTTCTCCCCAGGAAAGCTCCTTGTTGGCATCCAGCTCTTGGCATGGGGCTTTTCAGCTCCTCCTGACACAGTCAGGACAGAGCTGGGATTCTGTTTAGTGGAAGTGCCTCGCTGCTGGTCCCTGGGAAGATGGACAGTTGTAAAGAATTGTCTTTAAATATTAAAAAAAAAAAAAAAAAAGAGTAATTTTTTTGAGTTTTTTGGCTGCCTCACATTTATTGTTGTCCTTTGAACAGCGCATCCAAGTGATGATTCAGCCAAGTGAAGACATCACCCACCCTGAGAATGGGCCAGACCAGGCCCAACAGAGCAACTCTGCCAACAAAGAAGCCTACATCTAAAATCCTCTCTCGTCCAAGTACCGCTCCTCCTCCAGAAAAACAAAAAATATGGTTGAATATGACCACAAATTCACGTCTGAGAATATAAATTACCTACCTCTAGTGGCAAAAAAAAAAATTTAAAAAATACATGTTAAAAAAAAAAAGCAAAAAAAAAAAAAAATGCAACAAGGTCATCTCCACTCCGAGGGAATCGCCGTGGGTTCGATCCAGCCGTCGCGAGCTCAGATGTTTGACAGTGTTTTTGTGTTCTCCAGCAATCCACAGACTGTTAATGTTTTTATCCTTTCACAATGATAGCTGCATACTTTGGAATTTGTAAATTGATGTGCCAAGACCTTTTTAATCTACCTTTTAGCACGACTATTTGAAGTTTTGTGCTGATGATTTTTAGTAGTTGATCACTATTTCTTACCGCTGAATCCCAAGACTGTTATTTCTGACTTTGCAGGAGTAAAATTAAGTTTGGTGTTGTTTTGTACAAAAAGAACGGGGTGTTTTGTAAACAAGTGATTTCCAGTGCAAAAGTCTGCCCTTAAAATTTGTTCCAGCTGAGGCCATTTGAGGGGGGAAGAGACTCTTCCTTCAATTAACAGCAGGCACAGCCTTTATAAACATTCCTAGTGCAAAAATTGAGTTGTCTGTGGCAGAGCAGCCCAGCCCAAACACACTGGCTGTGCTCAGCCTTTCAGGGTGACTTTCAAGCAAGGTCATAAATTTCTTTAAAAAAAACTATCTTGCTTCTTATAAAAAGAAGATATCTTTGTGAATCAATGTTAGAGGCATGAATACAACTTTAAACTTTTTTAGCGAAGTAATAGCCAAGAGCTCTTAAAGATTCCCAGGAGTAAAATACAAAGTATTTGCCATCCAAGCTCGGACTCCCTGAGCTTTTATCATGCTGTTATCACTCTACTATTATTGCATTGCCACCAAGATAGAAACCAAAACAACGGCTGAAAGATCGAAGCTTCTCCTTGTAAGCTCCAATTTAGGGCTCGATTTAACCTGCTAGAGAACTTTTCCAGTTCCCAATCACAAACTCGGCATGGTCAGCACTTTGAGAGCAGTGGGATTTCCATTTCCAGGGGCTGGGTGGTGCTGAGGGCACGAGGGAGAGCTCTTTGATCCCGATGCAATCCCGCTCCGGGCTCTGTCCTGCGTTTGCCACATGGCCAGAGAGCCTGGCCAGCCCCTGGAAGTTTTCCCTGTGTGGGGAATGCAGCGGGAGCCCCGGCTGGCATTTCTCGTTTGGCAGCTATAAGACAGGCACGGAGGCTTTCTTTTTTTTTTTCCTTTTTTTTCCTTTTTTTTTTTTTTTTTTTTTTTTTTTTTGGGGAGGGTGATGTTTGATTGTAAATGACTGTGACAGAACTGTGCAATGAAAACATGCTTTTCAGCAAACTTTTTTGTGCACCGTACAATGTTAGATAGCACAATTTATGTAGAACTACTACGTGGAAAAAAAAAAACAAAAAAACAAAAAAAACATGTTACCTGTGAATGTTGGGTTTTTCGTTGTTCTCGTCTGAAGGTGACAAACATGTTCTTGCAATAAGGTATTATTCTCAGAATGTCAAGCACATTATGTAGAAATAATATATATATATAATACACATGTATTTCAAACTACATCCTAAACTCTCAGAGTACGTGGGGTAGGTTCTAAACTGTTTCATACCTAGGTCAAATGTAAAATACTACGAGATCTAAGCTCCATCCTAAACGGCCATAGCTGAGATGCAAACGTCCTGTAAGTCTTTGGGATTTAGAGGAACCCCTCCATCCTACACAGACATCACACCCGATACGTCATCCTTGTGAGTTTCATTAGACTAAGGATAAAAACTCCAACTTTCTCTTTATTGTTTAATGTAACCGAGTCCCATGTTGTTCTAAGAAAAATGCAGTATTTAATGTTTGATTGTAAACAATTATGACAGATGTTTGACAGACCTGCTCTTTAGCAAAAAGCTGTACAAACGTTATCACATAGCACAAACTAGTGTTGTAGAACTACTGTGTGTAAACTGTGAATAGCTGTATCTTTTTTGTAGTACTTGCCCTGGAAAAGAAAGATTATTGTATGATCATATATGCTTTTTGCAATAAGGAAATATCCAACACCAAGCAAATCTATCTCTATATAAAAAATATATATGTAATATATACATATTCAAAAATATATACAGAGCCTGTTTAAAAGAGTACAGTATTATTTAGTAAATTGCAACCTGTTCTATGGACCAAATGTAAAATATTTATAAATTAAGATGCATTTTAAATGTCTATAAACAGTGTCATAATTAAAGCACGATTGTTATGTAAGTTTCCAAGAGTTTAGAGGAAAAAGAATAAAGGTTATATTATACATTAAATTCAGAATTTTTCAGTCTTTCATTGGACAAACCCAATCTGTGCTATTTTCAAGTTCCAAGTGTGTCATTTATATAGAAATATCCTTTAAATACCAAAACGCTGTATGCCACTTGTGATGTGTATAATTAATCCATGCTATTCCTACCATGTAATTAGTATGTGCATACATTATACAGGGAGCTTAAGAGGTGACAATTAATAGCCCTTCCTGGCATCCTGCTGCTTTAATTCTCCCGCGGGAAGATGGCAGAGCCAGCTCTGGGAGAAGAAAAAGTAAAAATGGATTTTGGAATGTTTTGGACGGTTCCTCGGGTGCATTTCTTCTGCTGCTGCTTTGGGGTGAGAGCTGCAGCACCTCCCTGGTTTTGGAGCCCATGCTGGATACTCCACAGGCGGATGATCCGTGGCTCCGAGAGCTCCGTGCTCCTGGCTCGGCTGTCCTGGCAGGGTGGGAAGACGCGGAGAAGAAGTCGCGGTGCAGCTGCAACGCCGCTCCTGGGCTCGGGATTTAATTATCTGCCTGCAAAACTGGAGCAGGACTTCATGCTGGGGAAGAGGCTGAGCAATTTAGAGGACCTGATTAGAATGGAAAAGGCTCCTGAGAGAGGCGTCTGGGATGACAGACTGCAGGGGCCAAGTGCTGACCTTCGGGAGGCGCGCACGGCGAGGGCACGGCCATGAGGGCCCAGATTGTTCTGGAAAAGGGGAAGCAGCAATTTTGGGGACGCCGAAGGAAAAGAGAGGGAAATGGGAAAGGAAGAGGCTGAGGGCTGTCATTGGTGGCTGGGGGTGGTGGGAGGGCAGGGGGGCAGCAGGGGCAGGAAGCTACTTGGAGGATATTGCGTTAGCGCTGTGATATTTCCATGTTCTCCTGGAGGAATTTGCTCTTGCCACGCTGCAGAAATCCCAACAGCGATTCAACAAGAAAAATGCAAATAAGGTCACTTCTCCCCTACAGGACTGCAGGATGCCCTGGGAGAAATCCATGTCCTTGCTCGTCAGGAGTATTAGTTCAGCTACATGTGCTGTTACTCTAAAATAACACTGTGTTGCTTTTGGGGTTTTTTTGGTTTGTTTTAAGCCTGATTATTTCTGTTTTGTTCCGCTCAGGCCACAATAGCATTACAATTCACTGTTAGAGCCGCTCAGCCCCCGCTGCTGGCTGGGTCTCGAGGGCTGAACCCAAAGGCAGGGTGATCCCACGGCGAGGGAGCGGCAAGGCCAGATCCTCACTGCCAGAAACCTGGAGGGATCAGCTCAGAGCTGCAGCAGCTGCCAGCCCCTGCCTGACTCTGCCAAAGCACCACAATCACCCACTTCCACTGCTGAGCAAGGAAGGCACCAGCCTTTACATCCTAAAGGCTCTTTTTGCTCCTCCTCGCTCTTCTTTCCCTGCTTTTTGCCCTGCTCAGGGTGGTTAAAACAAACCCAATAAAAATGAGGTGGGAGGAAGGGATTTACCCATATACATTTTTCCCCCTGCAATCTAAACTACTTCTTCTCTTCTTCCTGTGAAGTTAAAAAAAGTAGAACAAACAAACAAAAAAATTAAAAAAAAAATTAAAACATAGATGGGGTAAAGTGAAACAAAATATTCATCCCTCCATAGAGCTTGGTATTCTTAAGAAGCTGATCCAAGTACTGCCACTTCTCATTCCTGCCTTTACAGTTTGAGGCCAGTCAATAAGTACATCACTCTTTCCTGCTGACAGTTGATGGAGAATGGGAAAATTTCCTGTTTTCACAGAAATCCCGTTAACTTTTAGAGTTGTATTGTTGTGGTTTGTCCTTCCTTCTGACCACACACCACACTGGCACTTTCCTTCAGGATTTGTCATTACTTTTAAAATGTATGGCTTGGTGGGGGAGAACTTTTAGCCCATTTACAAGAGCCTGGAGTGACAGAACACAGGGAATGGCTTCACACTGACAGAGGGCAGGGATAGGTGGGATATTGGGAAGGAATTCCAGCCCTGGCACAGGGTGCCCAGAGAAGCTGTGGCTGTCCCTGAATCCCTGGACATGTCCAAGGCCAGGCTGGGGCTTGGAGCACCCTGGGATAGTGGAAGGTGTCCCTGCCCATGGGACAATATTTAAGGTCCTTTCCATCCCAAACCATCCCGTGATTCCATGATTCCATGATTTTGCAACTTCATATCTGATCGTTTTTCCCCCCGGGTTCGTGATCGGTCTCACATCCAACTCAGTGGCAAATCCTGAGCGATTATTTTGGAATCTCAGGCAGGCTGAAGTAATCCTGTGAGTTATTTGTGAGTCATAAGTACATGCTGGTGCTAAATGTGTCCAGCAGTGCCTAAGAGAAGGACAGGATGGATCAGGCATTGTCACCAGGACAAAAATTAATGTGTTTTGCCAGCAATGGTGCCTTAGTCAGTCTGCAAGAGCTGCCTGCCGTGCCTTTGGGGATCAGCAGCTGAGAGGTGGCTACAAACAAAGTAACAGAGGGTGGAAAATAGCCAAAATGGACATGTTCAGTTGGAGTCTGGAGTCTGCTCTGCACTTTACCAAACTGGAAACCCACTTAGAGCTAGAAGGGGAATAAAACTGGATGGAACGAGTCACTGCCTTATTCCCTTACATCATGCAGTTCCTGATCCTTGTAATTATTCTAAAGCAACCTGGGAACACCTAAAAATGTTTAACCCAAAGAAAGAAGCCTGGGAGGCTCAGTTTAGTCTAGGAAAAGGTTTCTCAGGCCCCACTGGCACTGTCATTGACTGGTCACACCACGTGCAGACAGAGCTGC